CATTTATAGTATTACAACTAAAACCGTTTTTGACGCCGACACCGCAGTTTGTCCTTCATGAGCCTTCGTAGACAAGATGGCGGCTGCCTGTAGTGACGACCCGCGACCATGGAGATATAAACAGCTTTTTATAAGGTAAAAATAATAAAACAAGGTCTTTGTCTGCAATGATTAGACTTGTTTTTTTTATTATTGTCATTAGTGATTATCTCAATTTCAGCTAAAAGAATTGACAAAATCCTAAACACTGTGCCTTTAATCGAAAAAATAATCGACAGATTAATCGATTATTAAAATAATCGTTAGTTGCAGCCCTAACCTCGTCAGTTTYTTATAATTTTATCATTTCAAAATAAAATAATTGTTTTTGCACAGTTTTTATATAACACTTAATGAGTTGTGTTGTTTTCATTTGGTGCGTGTAACACAGGGGTCACTGGCAGGAAAAAGCCCTGCAGCAAAGTGGAAATGACRTGCAGGCGATCAGTTGATGATCACAGTTCTAGCACGTTTCGCATTTCTGGACACATMTTAAGAGAAAAAAGGCAGAAATAGCTCATTTATTGTAAAGTCTACAGACATCAGTTTGTGTTGAACTTCTAGAAATTCTATGGAATAATAGCAGCTAATTCTGGTATTGTCTTTTTGTCATCGGCTCATTCTCCACTTCCTTCCTCTTCCTGTCTGAACTTTTAACACTCTGTCATGTTTTTTTCTTTTTCTACCTGTCTTCTCTTCTGTTCTTGTCTTATTTCTCACTTGTCTTCCTCACTGTATCTCTCTGGCGGTCAGTTTGCTGTGTTCAGCTGTTTACTGCGCAAGTAAAGATGTTTGTTTATATCTCGGCACGTGTTTGTTGCCGTTATCCATTAGAGCAGACACAGACAGATTATAGGGATTATAGGACAGGCCAGGAAGAGATTACAGCCTCCACGCAGCAACAGTTTAAGATAACCTGCAGACTGGAGGGTGTAGTCAGGCTGCTGGTTTGTACTTCGAAGCAAAGAGCACTCCTTTTTTTTAAGTTGGAGCCATGACGTTGGTAGAGTTACATTTTAATGTTGAAGTTTTGTAAAGGGAAGMGTTTTCTTTCAACTTTGGAGACACCTGCTGTTTACTGAATCAACCTTTACATTTCYTCATCAAATGAATGATGAGCCAAGTCACCCTTCATTAAGACAGGCAAGAGTTTATTCAGCTGTCACTCACCTCTGATTCCTGTCAGGCTGCCAATATGTCCCGTCAGGACTGATTTGTCACAACATGAAAGACGGCTCAGTTAATGTGTTTGACACTGAAAACACCGTCACTGATCTCACACAGTTTATTTTTGAAGAAACGAGGGAAGAAACCACTCAGTGCTGAATTTTTTACATCTAGGGGTTGTGTTTTCCAGGGAGAGTGTTTGACCCCGACAAGCATTGTGGAGTTCCAGACCCTGAGACGAAACGGTCCTGCACCAGGTCTCTCACCTGCAAGGTAACACTATCACACACAAACCTTTCATTTTCCCTARATCAACTGTTGTTTATTGGAGTTTTAATAAACTAACATCGCTTCTTACACAGCTASTATCCTTTCTGTGTCTGTTTGACTCGTTATGTTTGTGTTGCCAATTTGCCTATGAAAGCTTGGAAGCATTTCCAGGTCCTACATTTCACTTGATGAGGTAATTATAGATGTTCGATGAGGCTACATCATCTTATAGCTGTAATACTCCATTACTGCCCTTTAATTACCTCCACCCAGCTTTACTAATCTGTTCAAACAGACTGGTTATTAAGTAATTAAAGCTCTATTAAGCCAATGCTTGTGTATTTGTTAGGGGTTGGGATGAGGAAGGGGATGGAGTTCTTTTGTTGGGGGGYAAAAAGAAAGAAAAACATCACATATCCTTATCTTTATATGATGATTAGTTAGTAAGATGTGTTAAAGCCAAGTCAAAGTACTATTTTACTCATAAATCAGGTACTACTTTGTGTAAAATCAACCCTTTGTGTCCTAAACCTGCAGTTAAAAATGTGTTTAAGAATTTAAAGTAAAAAAAAAAAAGCATTAAAGTAGTTTTATTGATTTTCTTTATCGATGAAAGCACTCATACTTTGGCAGGAATCAAGTTGAGCTCCTGTGGTGTTTTTACCTGTTAGGAGCTACAAAAGACTCAAGCAGAAGCTATTTGTGTGAGAAGAAACGTCCTTTTTGTTGACAAGGAAAAATGCAGCCGTGGAGAAGTGTTGATTCTGCGTGAACCAACACTTTCAGTGGAACTAAATTGAATTTGACTGCTCTCTCTGTGCTACAGACAAACACTGCACAACCCAGACTTTCTTGTGGAGAGCAGACCAAAGTTTCTTTTTATGAAACCGTGTGTTGTCTACATGTTCGACACTCACTTATAGCTGCACCCAGTTCTGTGTAGCAACATCTGCATTGTTTGATTAAAGGGATCCCTGATTAGTTGTAACATTAGACTTTATTTGATAAACATATATTTTAACTGTAAAATAAAGACTGTAAAAATACCATAGGCTGTTTAGTTTTGTAAATTTTTAAAAATACTGTATATTTTAACACGGACGGAGCCATTTTATTTACACYCAAAGCATTCTGGGTAAATGATGACGTGGATAGGTCATCGGTGCGAGGCCGCTAGCGAGCTATATCCACCCTGAAGGTTAATCTTGGACAATATCTGATGATCGACTCTTTTAAATGAAACCAGAGAAAGTTGACAGAGAGGAGAAGGTAGAAATGACTCAGCCTGTAACTGAAAATATAGATGGAGGACAACAGAGCTGCTTCATGGAAGAACCTCAGTTTAGCCTGTTAGCATTTGCGCTAGCGCAGACGCTATATTGCCTTATACAGTATGTATTAGCTCAGCGCTAGCGCGACAAACAAGCTAAACTGAGGTCCTCCATCCATATTTTCAGTTGCAGGCTGAGTCATGTTTGCGTTCCCCTCTCTGTCATGTGGATGGAGGACCTCAGTGATGAGAGGAGAATGTGTAGCGCTGAGTTTATATATATATATGGTGATAGCATTGGGGTTTATATATATATATGGTGATAGCATTGGGGCTAATGCTAAAGCTAACAGACTAAGCTGAGGTTCTTCTTCCATGAAGCAGCTCTGTTGTCCTCCATCTATATTTTCAGTTACAGGCTGAGTCATTTCTACCTTCTCCTCTCTGTCAACGCTCTCTGGTTTCATTTAAGAGTCGAACATCAGATATTGTCCAAGATTAACCTTCAGGGTGGATATAGCTCGCTAGCAGCCTCGCACCGATGACCTATCCACGTCATCATTTACCCAGAATGCTTTGAGTGTAAATAAAATGGCCCCGTCTGTGTAATATATTTTTAATCTTTTAGTTTAAATTTGATAAAAACTGAACACCCTACAGTATTTTTACAGTCTTTATTTTACAGTTAAAAAATATGTTTGTTAAATAAAGTCTAATGTTACAACTAATCATGGATCCCTTTAAGAAAACATGACAAAAGCAAACCTTATTTTAAATGGCATAAACTCACTTTTCCTATGTTAAAATAGCTGTTAGCTTGATACCACCATGGCTAAAATGGAGGTAGTTTTTTACGTACTTGAAAAACATTGGTTTCTTTGAAACCTAATTCAGCTACTTGGGCTTTTTAATTTTTTTTTATTATTATTATTCTACTTTTAGCTTTTTTTTCTAGCCTGGTAAAAAAAAAACAGACCTTGTTCTACTCTTTGCTTTGTGCGAGGGTCTGGAACTTCGGCTTTTAAGAAGCGATTTCTTGCTGGAGGCGTGAACTCTGTTGAAGTTTAAAACAGTTGGATCTGATTTACCCAATCGCTAACGTTTGGCCGTGACATATGTAGTGCGCCAGTTCGACTGCGAAGAAAGCTAAGCTAAGAAGCTAACCGGAAATAGCCTGCGCCATAAACAACCATCTCCTACTGGGAAGAGAGAAGTACCGAGCCGACTGAGATGACTGTAAATGATGCTGCAGGCTTTGTGAGACAAATCTAATTTAATTCGGAAGCCTTGCCACCATGGACTAGCTTCATTCACTTCCTCTGCTGCCATTGCTAAACTACAAGCAGACTAAAACAGAAAATCAACGTTGTCATTCACGACTCCTCCTCCTGTTCGCTGATTGGTCCAGTTAAAATTCTACCGGAGAAATCRTCATCTATGGGAGAAATCTCAGATAGAGCAGTGAAGGGAAATTAGAATTGAGCAGAACTTTGTAGGAAGGCAAGGGCCAGGCTAGCTTATTGCTAGTGTTTTACTAATTTAAAAAAGCCCCTTGTTTAAAATAATGATGGAAATGCTGAAAGTTGTTGAGTCCTTGTGGACAATCATGTTTGCAGAGGGTGCTGTGATCTGTAGTGAGAGTAGGGAGCAGGTGGAAGAGAGCCTGGAGAGGTGGAAGATATTTAGATTTTTAGTGGGAGTGGTTAAATTGGTCATGGATCAGATTAGATTATATCATAGGGAGATGTTTTGGACGTGCAAAGTAGAGATAGTGAATATGTTTGACACAGGGTGTAGAATATGAAGCTGCCAGTAAGGAAGAAAATAAGAAGACTAGGCCTGTTGTGATGGACAATAAATCAATTAATTGCATGATAAACTAAAAAGAGGTTGATAAAAATCATTTTCCTGCTTGTTTGTTTGTTTGTTTGTTTGTCTCCCTCTTTTCTACTCCTAGCCTAAACCCCAAGGAAGAAGAAGAAGAAAACATAAAAGCTTGCTTAAAACAAACATGTTCAGCATTAGCCCTGGTAATATGAGATAAACTGTGCTCGGCAGGACTAAATTAAACTGAGCGTACGATCCTCCAGCAAATCGACAGCACTGTTTCAGTTACATTATAATTACAGGTAGAGCAGCTGTTTCAGAAACTGCACCCCGGCTTGAAGCTGCTAAGTTGCTTTTACTGTCAAGAGCAATTATCCTCTGACGAGGAGACAGACTAGGAGAGAGGAATGTAACTTTACATCACCTGGTTCTTTAARACCACTTCTGAGATCCTGAATATGCTTTAATATATTTGAACAATGGTTATCCAGGAACTGTACCTTTCTACACACTCAGTGTCTCKGTTCCATTCAGCTTTTCTGTATCTTATATCTCTAGCACAGAATCAAACACCTACAGTAATTATTTTGCAATATATTTTGTAAGAACTATAAATATGAACAGAAAGTCACGGCTAATAGTTTATTAATTATTTGTTTGTATGTGTTTCTGTGTTTTGTTGAGTCGTTAAAATAAGCTGGTTGGATTTCACTTGTAAACTTGAGCCGTCTGACAGCTCCAGTGTTTCTGCTCGTACCGTCGAACRGCGTGTGTTACCTCGCTGAAACAAGTCTGGATGAACACGAGAAGTCGAAGCAGTTCCCGTTTCCCAGTTTCTCTTTTTCTCCGATTTTAAATTGCTCACCTGTCACATTCTTATTCAGCACCAGGATGTGGTCTGGATCTTGATTTATAAACCTTCCAGGTCAGTTTGAAGAGGATTTAGCTGTCAGCATTTCCATGAAGTGAACATTAAAGGCAACACCACCAGTAAATACCAGAGGTTCTGCAGCCTCGCTGCAAATAACTGTTGGAAAATCAAATGTTTGGGGTTGGTTACCCTCCAAAGTACCTGGAAGGATTTACAAGCTGACTGGGCTCAGGTAATATTTACCGTGTTAGTGTGAGCAGTGCTTGTGGAAAGGGAAACCACAAAGCCTTGACTCTAGCCCTTATGCACGCACCGTTTACTGTACGCTTGTTGAAGATGTTTGTGCCAGATGTGTGTTTCCTGTCCCTTACAGACTCATTCTTTAACCCAACGCCGAGCCGTCCCCGGCCGATCTAAAGACTTCAACGTCCTCCTGGCTGAACACAAGGGCCTGGCCAAGGAGAGAGAGGCCTTGAGAGAGAGGGAGAAGGAGAAAGAGAAGGAGAAGGATGGAGCTCAGAGGGGAAAGGAAACTTGCAACCAGAGCATCGCAACTCAAGATGCGGCGTGTCCAAGCAAGTCCCACTGCCCCAGTGAGCGTCCACTCTCCTCACTGAAGCTGCGGCTCGCTAATTCACACATACCGAGGTAGGACAGCATGGACAGCATGTTTAAAGTACAACAAGCTGCTAAAATAACTCAGGAACAAGCTTTTAGCTTTTTTTTTTTTTTTTMTTAAAAATGCTGTTTCCAATGTCCTGATGCATCTCAGTAATCCAGGTAAAAAAATCAAAAAGAAAAATATTGTATAGGTCTTCTGGACGGGTTCTTCTCTAATGAAACGTTTCGTCTCTCCTCCAAGAGACTTCTTCAGTCTGAGAGTTTCAGGCAAAATTCAGGCTTTTAAGCCCTGCATCCATGTGACTGATACTCACATCACATGGCTATCGTAATTAGGTGTCAACGATAGCCATGTGATGTGAGTATCAGTCACATGGAGGCAGTGCTTAAAAGCCTGAATTTTGCCTGAAACTCTCAGACTGAAGAAGTCTCTTGGAGGAGAGACGAAACGTTTCATTAAAGAAGAACCCATCCAGAAGACCTATACAGTTTTTTTCTTTTTGCTGTTTCCAATAATTGTTTGTTTTTTTAATTGTAGAAGGGAAAGTTATAAAAAGTCAAATTATTAATTTATTTATGAAATAGACAGTAACTTGGACACGAAGTATGCCTGTTAGCAGCCAAAACCCTCCAGACTATAATTCATKAATTCCAGCCACTCAGAAAAGGCACTTTGCTAAAATAGAAGCTAATTTTGCCTCTTGCAGTTTTCTCTCACAGCATTGTGTTGACTGGTCTTTTGTATGAGTACTTGTCTCACAGCTCCCCTTCATCTTAAACTTTGTCACATTATCTAACTCTGCTGCATCCATTAATCCAGACAAACACGGAAGCTTGTTCCAGCTAAAGTCCTCCATTGCTGCTGCTGCTGCTGCTGTTGTTGATGGTGAATGTTGTAGGAACATGGCTGCACGCACCAACTTTTACACAATCACACTGCTCTCCAGGCAATGCACAAGCAAACACTTATAAACACCCCCATAATGAAACTTACAGTTCTTATAATCCTCAGAGAAGTCTTAYAACGGTTTGGTCCAAAAACAAGCAATTTGTTTTTAAACAGTCAYTACTGAGAAATCCAACATTTTKTTTGGTCCCTGAARGCACCATCTGCACAGAACAGAAACAAGCATGTGGTCTGTGCCTGGGTTCACTAGATTTAGCCAGTTTTCAGACCTTTCTACCGCCTTTTCTAACTGACTAGAGTCAAATCTAGATAGCTTTTTTTGGCGTGTTTAGAGACCTGTGGGCTGCACGTGATCATCAGTGAGCAAACAGGTGTTTTTTTCTGTTTTGTCTCTTTTTGGTTCGTTTATATTTGTAATGTTAGGCTGAAAACATCTACATGGATATAAAATAAATTATTTTACAATAATTTGGTGTTAGCGCCAAGAATAAAAGTTTTAAAAATACAACAAACAAAAATTAAACAACCCAAAAAAGTTCTGTTTGACTGTCTCTTAAGGACACTGCCAGTTTGAAGTTTAGATAAAGGAGGAGGGTTTAATGTTGAGTAATTCCACCCTACTTCACAGTTGTTTGTTTATCTGTCATAAACCATGGATAGAAGATCACATAAACCCTGATGTAGTAAAATTCTAGYTTGTTAAACCTAACTTCTATTTTAGTGCCTAAATCTAAATTTAAATCTTGAATTTGTTTTTTTTAATGAAAATAAATGTGGTGATGATGTGGTTCTAAGCAAATCATTTAATAATTTTAAGTTCAATTGTAGTTCTAAACATTGTTTAGAGAGTTCTTACTCGCTTGTCTCTCCATCTATATTTATCTCCTACAGCCTGGGTCACAATTACATTGAGATGACCAAATATGCAAAGTAGATAATGTCATCCACAAATTGTAGAACGGTGAATAGCTACTATTCTTAATGAGGAGTTGGCAWCAGTGTAGAAGCTTTCTTTGAGAATGTATTTGTTTTAAGACCGCAGGTAATCCTGAATGTGTATGCCTTTTTATTGGTTAGTTTATTGAAAGAAAATCAGTATCGTGTAAAATAATCTGTGCATCTTTAACTAAAACATAATCAATCCCCTCTATAATTCATCTGGTTTTAAACTATTTTATCCTCCTGTTCAGTTATATAACAGTCTCTGCTGATTGAACTCATGTCTGCATTAGGCAGTGATAATCTGACCCAGCAGAACCATGCTGTAGAAAGTCAACATAACTGCTAATAGTTGTCTTGTTTGTCCATAATGTTCCACCAGGGGGTGCTATAAAACACTGAGCCTGCTTCTCTGTGTTATGAGAAACTCCGTTCCTATTTCTATTTGAGAGTTGATTCCTCAGTTTGAAAAAAATAAAAATAAAAAACAAGAAAAGAACTTAGCTGTAGTGAAAATGTGGCACCTGAATAAAAGTAGACCACTTTTTTATGACTGTTTCATGTATCCACCCCAGGGCTCCAGGTGGTTCATCTTTCGCTTCCACTTCCAGTCCTCTGCCCCCACCAGTGCCTCCTGCCCCGGCTCCCCACCCMGAGACGTCTCCTCACAGCTGGGTAACAGCGGCAGCAGACAGCAGTCGGCTCTCCAGTGACGAGGGGGATGCAGAGGCTCCAGACGACGCCGAGCGGCCCGCCTTTCACTTCTCCAGTCATCATCCGCGGCCTTTAGGGGTGAGTGCTGCTACGGTTTTATACCACACCACCTGCTTTCCTAGCCCATTCAGGTTGAATAATTTTAATATTTCAATATATTTCAACTCGTTCCTCTTCGGTCTCCCTCCAGGTTTGCGTATTCAGCAGCAGGCTGATGGGGCGGGGTTACTACGTGTTTGACAGGCGATGGGACAGGATGAGGCTGGCGCTGCAGAGCATGGTGGAGAAACACCTCAACGCTCAGATGTGGAGGCAAGCATCTTTCGTTTAAGCGTAAGGTCAGCAGGAATAAGTGCTCTGAGAGTTGAAAATTCTTCTGTGTTCCAGGAAGGTGCCTCTGGCTGCTGAGAGCCTCCCCTCTCCTTCCTCCTCCTCATCCTCCTCACATCAGGCTCCGTCTCCCACAGCTCTAACCTCCCCTGTTCTCAGCTCCCCATCCAGCACCCTCACCTACACCGCCACTTTCCCTCAGTCGGCATCTGCGGCCGGGGTCTTCAACGTCAGAGACTCCCCGCAGCCCCGCCCCCAGCCGTTAGCGTCGGGAAAAGCCCGCAACGGCGTGCACAGAGCCAGCCGCCCGTCTAAAGACACGGAGGACCCCACCGTGGGGGCCAAGAAGAGAAAGAACTCTTCCCACTCGTCCTCCTCCTTCTCGTCTTCTTCCTCGCGTCCGCACGTGGATAACCACAAGAGGAACGGCAGCAGCTTTCACGTGACGTTACAAGGCTTGGGGGTGACCGCCTCCCCCTCGGCCAGGAAAAAAGGGCCAGGTCACGGGGACAGCGGATTTCTGGGCAGCTCAGACGACTGGCTGTCCAGAGCGGACGGGTCTCAGAGCCACAACTCACAGAACTGGTAGAAAAGTTTTTATCAAGTCTAGCATTCTCAGATCAGTTTAATGTGAAATGTAAAGTTGAAAGCYTTCAGGCTGCGATGGTTTGGACATTAGTAGTGTAGAATGCTGAGTCAGCATTCTGACAGTTGCTTTTATTACAGTTTTGTAATGTAAATACTTTAGCATTATTTGTGATATGTAATCCAATCATGCATCAAAATATCTCAATCAGGTGGTGTGTGCTACAAATTTGTGTTTTTGTAACATTTACACTTTTTAACATTATTTACAAAAAAAATCCCTATAAAGTTGCGTTGAGATCTGTTCAATAACTAAAAAAACACTGGTTTATTTGAAATCAGCTAAGCTACTTGCACCATATTTTTTAATTTATTAGCATTTTGCTGGTGTTTTACCACTTTTAGCTACCATTCTCTAACTTTATTCTTAATGATACATTTGGCTGTCATTTTGGTTTAGCATCTGTTTAGCTCCTTTAAGCGTTTTAGRTTCTTCAACTTGATTTTAACTTAGTGTAAATGTGTGGCTATAACCCAGATTTATCTCTGTATTTTTCAGTCGTGAACTTGGCACCGGCAGCTACACCCCCAGAGACCCTGCCTCTGCCTCACACCAGCCTATGGCTCCCCCCACAGTACCCTTAGCCTATGGGGGAGGAGCAGAGGGGAGGAAGAGGAGGAGTCCCAGCTCCTACAAAGGGAAGGCCAGCAAGCTGAGCCGGCCGTCTGGGTTAGAAAGCCTCTTCGGGAAGGGGAGCGACAGTGGGGGGATACTGGCTTCAGGGCCCGAGTCCCCGAGACAGGTACCTGTTTTTATTCTCCCCTCTGCTGAAGGTGAAAGGATGCTTGTTGGTTTTGTGTGTGCCTCTGTGTTTGTGTTGTTGTGTTAGCTAAATAGCTCAGTAACCACTGGATGATTTGAAAAAATTGGCAAAAAAATTTGGATGATTGTCTAGAACCAAACAAAAATATAAAAACGATGTCAACTCGATTCAAGATGGCCGTCACGGCTGAGCAACCTGAAACCCCAAAATGGCAATAATTCATAATTTTACAGATATTGACCTAAAACTTGGTGCGTTAGCTGAGTCATTCATAAACACTCAAGCCCCAAAGGATCACATTTTTGCAGTACGGCCTGAGATTTGTTCTTTTCCAGATTTAACCAACAAAGCTACAATTCCATCATTTGTCATCGCAAGATAATCTTAGTTTAAAACTCTTGCCTGACCGATGGTGGGTGAAATGCATTCCTTCGAGGTCTTTTAATTTGATCCTGTTAACGTTAGATCATGGTCCAACTTAAAGGGCCAATATAATGTGTTTCTCAGGTATATATTTAAATACTATACCATAATAAAGTATCTGTCACCTTTAGCTGTTATTAAAATACTGTTTTTATGTTTAAAAAGGAAATAAAACTTATCTTCTCATCACTTCTTCCTCTAAACGCCTTGAAATTGGCCTCTGTCTCTTTAAGAACTTACTTGGCATCTGAAAATACATMTCCTCAAAGGTATTTTTAATCTGAAAAGAGCTTCACTGAGTGAGAAGTAATGTTGAGAGCTCAGCAGACAGTTAGGTTTCACTTTCACTTTGACCTGAGAGCCTGCAGGAGTCATGGGCGAGGTGTGTGGGGTGGGGGAGAGGGGGTGCGCTCTGCCATGAGGAAGTTCGGCTTAAAGACACGTCCCAGAGGCATTTCTAGTACCAAAAGGTGTTTCTGGGCCCCARCTGTTGTTTTGCTCCTCAGCATGGCTTCCTAAAAATGCTGCAGGATTTCTCAAACATGCATGAATGAGTCAGAACAAGGCTTTAGGCATGTTTTTTATGAGAGTATAACATTATAACATGATATAAAACTCAAAAAAGTTGATTTTACATGATATTGCCCCTTTAAAGCAAAGAAGTGAAAGTGGGTTAACGAGCCCGTGTCCTGTCTCCYCAGGCCAAGTTCCATCACTGACAGGAACCTGTTTCACGGACAGAATGCTGGGCAGCTGCGCAGACCTCCACCGTTTGTGACCTTTGACCTCACCACTCTTCCAGCGGCAGCGCCAATCGGGCCGCTGCATCCCGCCGACGTCACGGCCGCTTATCCAACGACACTTCAGTCCACTCAGTGGGACGTCGTTGGAGGAGGGAGGGAGGGAGGGAGGGAGGGGCTCTGAAGTCTTTGCCTGCATCGGTTCCTTCCACTGCCTCTCCTTCAGCTTGGATCGCTCTGTTGGAAAGCTGCTTTACTTCTGTTGTTCTGGTTTTTCTAGAACAAGATTAGAAAAAAACAAAAACTATTCTCTCTAAAGGGAATTTGCCTCAAGTGTGTCAGGCATCATTGAGAACATCACCYCTGAAATATTTCCTTGGATGAAAGACGATTGAAGGTTAAAGGACCTTCTGAGACGACTACTTTGGGACTTAAGCTATGCCACCAACCTTTTTCTCCTGATCAAAAATGGGGGAGTGATAACAAGTTCGGCTGGGTTTTATCCAGTCTCCTCCCGTCTTTTAGCCTCTTTTTTTATTATTGTTTCTTTTTGTACAAAACAGCTTAGTTTATTTCTCTATTTACCATCTCCTTCACACCCCCTTCCTTTCCCAGCATGCCTGTGTTCAAAGTGCACTTACTGTCCTCAGTTCCTATCGCTTCCTTCTCTGCTGGCTCCACAGCCGTCTACATCAGCGTCACGCAAAAAACAAAGCCTGCTCGGGACGAAAACAGTCGTGTTACCAATGATGCCACCTTGTATTTCAATATAGGATGAAGTCTGACTTTACTTCGATACATTTTTTTGTTTGTTTGTTTGAAACACAAAGTCCAGGACTTGCATCCAAATTGAATTTATTACTGTTTTTTTTTTTTGTATAATAATTTATCATTCGTAAATAATGTTTATCTAAGTGACCATTAGGGTTTGAGATAGTTTTTTCAGCAAAAACAACAAAAAAATAATTTTTATGGCTTTTTGAAGAAATGTTGAAAGTATTATTATAGTTCATATTTGTACAGATCTGCTATTATTTTTGTATTTATTGATAATTGTTCCCCCTTTTACTAAATARGAGGTCAAAAAGGAGCTTTTTCTTGTTCCTAACTGGAGGATGTTTAACAATGATCACTTTCACCTGGTTTCTTAAGAAATACGTTTAGTAGCAAATGAATGAGAATTAGCTGTAGCCAAGTATGAGCTTTTGCTCCATCAATGGTAATTGAGTTTTTATTTTAAAGACTTCGCTTCCCCTTTTAAGGCTTTTGACCTGCAAATAAATGTTTAATTCAAATCCAGACCCAAACACCCTGAAAGTATGCAGTTCAGCTCCGGATTTATTACGCTCCATGATGCGTCACTGCTCCTGTTTTAGAATGAACTACCAGCAGTTAAACACAGACTGCCTGATGAATTAAAGTAATATATATGGTTTATTTTTTTATATTGCCCTTTTTTTTTTTAGCCAGGAATGGAGAGTTTTGTCCAGAACAGCGATGTGAGAAACACCAAAGCTCGTCAGGAAAAGAAAGACGTTCCGAATTTCAAAAAGCTCGCTCTGACCGACCAACATCGCTTGTTTCTCCTGAAACCAAAGTGATTTGAGTCCAGATTTTTTTTTTAAGTTGTGCGCACTTTGGTCAGCTGCAGTCAATAGTTTTTCTGTGCGGGTGTCTGCACAACAGGAACAGAGAGTGCAGTTTCTTTTCATCCTAAGTTTAATTGAGGGTTCATGAACTCACCGTTTTGGATGTAACCATTCAGATATAAACAGGGCCTACAGATGCATCATGTCAGTAGTTATAACCACACGGCTGTTCTCAACATGATCGATTTGCCCAGAGTRCCAATGTGGCAATACAAAGATTCAGCTAGCCCACGCTGATTTCAAACTCCTCGTTACATATTATCAATATCCCTTATAAAAAGTGAGGGTTTGAAATGTTTATCTGGTCCCATATTCACCAAGGTTTCATTTCGATCTCCACAGAACCTCACTGCCTCCTTTGTCAGGAGCTTATCACATTTAAAACCTTCCCCCAGCCCRGTCCTCTGCAAAGATAATGGTCCAGTGTGTCTTTAAAACTCTGCTAATGGGTACTCAATATCCAGTGATGTGGATCTCTTGTTTGCTAACTAACAAAAGATGTTTTTTGTGAAAGTGGGCTCTTCAAATTATAATTTTTTTTAAAGGGCCCAACGCTTCTGTTTGCTACTAGTTCCACAGTTTTAACCCCTCAAAGCGGCAGTTTTTATTTTTATGTCTTTTAACTTCCAAGGCTGATCGGTCCCGTCTCAGTGATTATGTGGGTGGTCTGTCAATTCAAAACTGGGTCAGAGTGCTTTCACTTACCGAAGTCCAGGTACCGTTTTGTTCTCCACAAGATTCAAACTCTCAGCATCTGCTAGTCAAGGTTAGAGAGGATATTCACGTGTGCTTTTTTTTTTTTTTCCTGTACCAGTTCACTTTTACAGAACTGTGACCAAAGTGAAACAATTTCAGTTTTAAAAAAATTGTTTTAAAAGTTATTTAGCTGAAAGTGCAGCACTAGCTTTCTCAGTGTGTGCGATCTGGCCCCGCCCACCCGTGTCCACTCACTGATAACGCCACAATAACTGAAAGCATTTTGATTTTGCCTCGCAGCTCCAACTCGGTACAACAGCTCCAGTGTCGACTAACTTCCAGCACTAACGACGGATGAATGAACTGTGCAGTCTCTTCTGTTACTTTCTTCAGAAATGCTTCCTGTGACACGTTATCGCTCAGAAGTGTTTAGTATTAAATGCTGGGTGCTTTTCTGTTTGATTTGGGTACTTGCTGTGTACAGTTAACTGACAGGATCAGTGTCTTTTTCAGTTTTTCACACATTAAAGTTAATAGAAGAGATGAACACACTAATATTTGAAGTCTGGGACATTCTTTATAATTACAACTTAATTGACGAAGTTCTTTTTTTGGTGTTAAAATCTCCTTCAATGGTTCAATTTTTTTTTCTTTTATTTCACGTTTTCATTTTGTCCTTTATCTTTAATAACTTTAATTATAACTATATTTGAGTATGTTTCCTGTCAGCACATTATCACTTTTCTGATCCAACTCTGGTAAAATGTTGAATATGTGAAGAAATGCTCTTTTATTTTATTTTATGTTGGTTTATTTAAACTTGGTGAAGTTGGATATTTTTGAAATGTATTTCCCTTCAAAACAGTATCCAAACATTATTTAAAAAATAATAGTTTCACAGCTAAATTTGATTAAAAGTGGGGCCGTGTTTAGTTCTAAATCAAATGCATCTTTTGAAGTTGAGTAAAGCCCTGCTGCTACTAAATGTTTTTTATATTATACTTGTTTATATTGCAAGTATATGTTGAATTTTTTTTCTTTACAAGCAGCTTTTTTTTCTTTGTAATATGTTTTGTATCATTGGACAGAAAACATCTTTATGACTGTCAAGTGTCCCACAAGGAAGCTTCAGTTATATTTTGTAAACTACAAAGTTAATGCTTACATTTGACAAGATGCATCTATAACGACCATTTTTAGTGAAAATATAAAACTAAAACTATTCCTGCTTTTATTTTATTTTTCCTTATCAGATAAAATATTTAAGTGTTCTGCTGTTTTAATTGTTTTTATTTCCCAACAGTTTTTTTTTAACCTTGACTGTCCAGATTGAAATTTTTTTGACAATATAATGATTTTCTTTACAGTACCACTAAAATGTTTTCTGTGTTTGTTAATTATTTTCTCAACTGTTTGCCAAACTGTGGGTTCGATATCTAAACTATGAGGAAGAGTTTTTAGGAAACACCGGCAAATCTTGTGCAATTCTTCAAGGGTGGAACTAATATGGTGACCTGTGGGGGCTCCAGCCCACTCCTACAATCTAAAAGCCACAGGTGCCACCCTAGACAGATGAATAACTGAATATCTCTTCTGAACTTTGAAGTAGGGTTTTCGGCTGCAAGTTTAAAAGCGTTTTCGTCATAGTAAATTTACTTTTTCAGGTCGAGGTCTTGCTTTTTACGATTGGAATCACATTTTTGTCTTGTTTGTTTGTTTATTTTAACTGATGTCTATGCACCTACAAGTAGAATCTTTTGAGATTCTGTAACAATGAGGTGAATTATATTATTCTACCAGGGCATGACCTGCAAGGGCAAATACTCACTCCTAAAGGTCGACTAATTCTGAATGATTGAGTTAAAGAACAAATTTTCACTTAATTTCATTTCATTAGATGTTCTGACCCAAAGAGGAAATGGTGTTTTTCTTGTGAGGTTAAATTCGTCACTTCTTTTCTGAAGTTTTCCCGAAATGTAACCCCAGTTTTGTGGCTTAAAACATTCCAGCTTTTATATTTTGAATATTCTACACTGTAGATGACAGACGTCTAAAACTCAACTTTACATATGGAAATATTCGCAAATCGAAATTATTCAAATATTTCTCCTTGTAGTTTTTCATCAAATATTAAACTACTTTCTGCGCCCTTTTAAATGTCAAGCAGTGCCATAGTGGGCTGGTGATTTTGGCTTGTTTTGRAGCCACAAGACAATAAATAGACTAAAGTATTATGAGGCTCAACAGGACCATGATTTTAGCAATAAGTCTAAGAAAATGAATGGAAAAAACAAACTTTTTAAAGACATAACATGGGATTTTTGTGTCAGAAAGCTGAAAATGCGTTTTCATGATTTCTTTCTAAGAACAGCTTTGTCTTCAAAACTGAGTCAGATGTGACTAGTGAGAGAGAGGGCCGAGTCAACTGAACAAATAAGAGTCAGCTGTTTGAAGCTAGGATACAGCAAGTGGTGCATGAAGAGAAAGGGTTTTTAAAAAAAAGGTGATGCAGTTTATTTGTTAGTCCATTTTTTTGTATATTTCCTCTAAAACATCCATCCGTCTCTTTGACCTGCTTTCTCCTGTCCAGGTCTGCTCCACTTGATCCTGACCACCAAGCGCTTGAAAGAGGCCCGAGCTCAAAGATCATCCAGTCTCCACATCGAAGGGCTTCAGTTAAAATTCCGCTTTCATCTTTTCGCAGAGGTGCTCATCACAGTTAGCTCACACTTCAAATATGATTTCTTTTTCATGTCAATGTTGAGAAATTCTCCAAAAATCTTGATTTTTGTTGGAGTTTTAGTCAATTTCTGACTTCATTTTGCAGCACAGTTCTCTCCAACTKCTTTAACTTCTGATTATGCCTTTTCTTACCAAAGTATTCCTCCCTTATTACTCTTTCTACATGCTTGTATAACAGCCTTGATTTTTATTAGATTTTCAGTTTGATAAGTGTGTATATAAAATAATAAACGGGCAAAACAATTTGGGATAAATTTTAAAAATACATATAAACCTCAAAAGTGTGTGTGAARACAGGTGCTGGTCATAAAATTAGAATATCATGAAAAAGTAGATTTATTTCAGTAATTCCATTTAAAAAGTGAAACTTGTATATTYTATTCATACATTACATACAAACTCATATATTTCAAATGTTTATTTCGTTTAATTTTGATGATTACAAATGACAACAAATGAAAATCTCAAATTCAGCATATCAGAAAATTAGAATATTTCTGAAGACCAATAAAAACAAAGGATTTATTGAAATGTTGGCCAACTGAAAAGTATGAACATGAAAAGTATGAGCATGTACAGCACTCAGTATTTAGTTGGGGCTCCTTTGGCCTGTATTACTGCAGCAATGCGGCGTGGCATGGAGTCGATCAGTCTGTGGCACTGCTCAGGTGTTATGATAGCCCAGGTTGCTCTAATAGTGGCTTTTAGCTCTTCTGAATTGTTGGGTCTGGTGTATTGCATCTTCTTCTTCACAATACCCCATAGATTTTCTATGGGGTTAAGGTCAGGAGAGTTTGCTGGCCAGTTAAGAACAGGGATACCATGGTCCTTCAACCAGGTACTGGTAGCTTTGGCACTGTGTGCAGGTGCCAAGTCCTGTTGGAAAATGAAATCTGCATCTCCAAAAAGTTGGTCAGCAGCAGGAAGCATGAAGTGCTCTAAAACTTCCTGGTATGTGGCTGCGTTGACCCTGGACCTCAGAAAACACAATGGACCAACACCAGCACATGACATGGCACCCCAAACCATCACTGACTGTGGAAACTTTACACTGGACTTCAAGCAACGTGGATGAAGTGCCTCTCTTCTTTTCCTCCAGACTCTGGGACCTTGATTTCCAAAGGAAATGCAAAATTTACTTTCATCAGAGAACATGACTTTGGACCACTCACCAGCAGTCCAGTCCTGTTTCTCTGTAGCCCAGGCAAGACGCTTCTGACGCTGTCTGTGGTTCAAGAGTGGCTTGACACAAGGAATGCGACAGCAGAAACCCATGTCTTTCATACGTCTGTGTGTGGTGGTTCTTGAAGCACTCACTCCAGCTTCAGTCCACTCTTTGTGAATCTCCCCCACATTTTTGAATGGGTTTTGTTTCACAATCCTCTCCAGGGTGCGGTTATCTCTCTTGCTTGTACGTTTTTTTCGACCACATCTTTTCCTTCCCTTCGCCTCTCTATTAATGTGCTTGGACACAGAGCTCTGTGAACAGCCAGCCTCTTTAGCGATGACCTTTTGTGTCTTGCCCTCCTTGTGCAAGGTGTCGATGGTCGTCTTTTGGACAACTGTCAAGTCAGCAGTCTTCCCCATGATTGTGTAGCCTATAGAACTAGACTGAAAGACCATTTAAAGGCCTTTGCAGGTGGTTTGAGTTAATTAGCTGATTAGAGTGTGGTACCAGGTGCCATCCATTTTGAACCTTTTCACAAGATTCTAATTTTCTGATATGCTGAATTTGAGATTTTCATTTGTTGTCATTTGTAATCATCAAAATTAAACGAAATAAACATTTGAAATATATGAGTTTGTATGTAATGTATGAATATAATATACAAGTTTCACTTTTTAAATGGAATTACTGAAATAAATCTACTTTTTCATGATATTCTAATTTTATGACCAGCACCTGTATATTCACCTATTTGGTTTTGCAGGCCCAGAGAGCAATCTTTTGCCAAATATACATATAAGATTCAACCAGTAATAAGTACTACCAAAGCAAGAGACATGATGGAAGACCAAGGGACTCCTCACATCGTGAAGTACAAATTAGTATTGGAGTATCAAACCATTCCAGAACCCTGAACACCCAACAGAGCAATCTCTCCGGCTTTGTGCTCTCTTTCTAAATCTCTCACTCACTCACACAGTCCGGCACAGGCACGCACAGTGCCCCTTCCTTCCCCCTGTCGAGCTACGTAAGGGGGAGAGAGGCTTCAGGATCAGAGCAGCAGTGGTGAGAGAGAAATAAAGAAAGKTATATTTGTGAAGAGAAGCCATCTGCTGTTTAGCACTGGGGGTCTCCTCCATGTCAATGTGTCTCCCTCTTACAATAGTGTTATTGCAAGAATGACTCTTTCAACAATAGGTGAMAATCAGGGCACTAACGATCGGCTAATGGTCCACCTTTGCATGTCAACACCAGCTTTCATCAGTCAAACTTGTTTGTCAACCAACAAGGCACTGATAAAGCTGAAGAACTTTCTTGGAGGAGATGATGAAAACTTTTTTTTAAACTCTTGTAACATACTGTATTCAACTTTTTTTTTAGATAATTCATGGCCTTACGGCATAATTCTTCAAGGAAAATTCATACATGTCAAGTTGTACAGATTGTCCATAATTTACACAGACTTTCCATCATTTTGCAGGTATATGGATGTGTAGAGAAATCTCACTGATTTTTTTCAAGTTTAATGGATTTTTTTTTCAAAACCTCGGTTTCCAATTTATTTAACATGTCAGAGCCTGCAGGACGTTAAACAATCTGCTGCTTGTAATGAGACTAGTAATAAGTCCTGCACTTCCTCAATTCTCCCTTCCTGCTGCGTGCTTTGCAGCAGGCGCTGTCATATTCGTGGCCAACAGCACCGCCCCCCAGTATCTGAATTGGTATCGAAATAAGCGATTCTAGCAGAGTATTTACTTGGTATCGGATCAATACCAAAATTCCCAGTATTGCCCACCCCTACAAAAGACTTCTTCAGTCTGATGAGATTCATGTGAACTCAGCCTTATAAGCACTGCCTCCACATGGTGGACAAACAGGTTAGTCATATGCAAAAGAGGGCCATCACCTAACAATAGGCTTGATTAGTTCTATTGTTCATAGAGGGTCATGTGCTCCATCACCTGACTTATTGGTTTGGATGCTTCAGCTGTGGTTATTTGGTGTTTTGTTATGTATATGTAGTGAGTGCAAGCAGGGTTCAACGTCTCCTTGTTTTTGTCCCTCTTTCCCTCTTTGTGTTGGGTATCGTTGGGGCACTGATTCACAACTTTTGCTCACAGTGGTGTGAAGGTTTGTTTATACTTCATGCAAGATGTGCGGCTGCGGCCCAGCGATGACATAATTGCGTACGTGTCACCGACCGCATTGAGTGTTTATACTTGGAAAAGACATGGGGGAGACATAGTAATCCCTCCCTCTGCCCTCCCACTGCATACGGTTACGCTCACAGCAAATATTAATAAAAATTATGTCATGAAACCTCTCAAGACAAGCGTGATTTTATATTTAAGCTTCTATAAT